GATCACCCCTAATTATAAAGGGCATCGCCCTTCTCCAGGAAGACCTGGCAATAACAGCTATAATGGCTATAAGCAATCAAAAAACTGGAGAGGCAACAACTTCAAACCTTGGAAATCCAAGAACAATGCCAACCGGGACAAGACAACCCGGACAAGCCAATAGAACACTTGCTGCCAGCTACTAGCACAGTAAGTATATGTTCGCCTCTTTGTACCAATGTATATATTGCTGGAAACATAGCTAAGCATTTCAGTGCTTGGCAGACGCTCACGTCTGACCCCTACATTTTACGCATCGTTAAGGGTTACCAACTAGAGTTTTGCAACCCTCCTTGCCAGGCGCTCACCCCTAGAGCTGTAAAACTTTCTTGTAAAGAGACAGATATTGCTACTACTGAAATTAACAAGCTTTTAACTAAAGGGGTCATTAGGAAAGCTACTCATGTTCCTGGTGAATTTATCTCAACAATTTTCACCAGGCCCAAAAACGATGGGTCTCACCGTCTTATTTTGAACTTGAAAAAGCTAAATGAGCATATTGAGTACCATCACTTCAAGATGGATTCACTGCCTCACGCACTTCAACTTATGAAGCCTAATTGTTGGATGGCTGTCTTAGACCTAAAAGACGCATACTACTCTGTTCCTATTAGGACTGAGGACAGAAAATACCTTCGTTTCGAGCACGAAGGCCAACTTTATGAATTTGTTTGCCTTCCTAATGGCCTCTCTAGTGCACCCAGAATTTTTACCAAATTGTTAAAACCTGCCCTTGCCAAATTAAGGGAGGAGGGGGTGCTTCTAGTAATTTACATTGATGACATACTTTTTGCCGATGACCCTCACACATTGGTCATATTTATACAAAGGGCTATTACATTGTTGCAGTCTCTGGGATTCACCATCCATTCTGATAAAGCCCAACTTGTCCCATCCCAGAGCGTCAATTTCCTGGGTTTCATTTTAGACTCGGTTGTGATGGCAGTCTCTATGAAATCGGACAAGGCTGATAAAGCGAAATCAGCCATTTTACAGCTCCTCAGAACGGAGCAGCCTCTTATTCGAGAGGTTGCATCTGTAGTTGGGCAAATGGTGTCATGTTTTCCTGGAGTCAAATATGGCCCACTGTATTACCGTGCTCTTGAAAATGACAAAACTGCTGCTTTAAAGACGAATGGGTGGAACTTAGATGACAGAATGCTCATCTCTGATATAGCTAAGAAAGACATGTCTTGGTTGCTTTCAAATATTGACAATGATCCATGCTCTGTCCGGCCTATGAAATACAAATTAACCCTTAAATGTGATAGCTCTCTAGAAGGATGAGGAAGTGTTATTGAAAATTCTTCCCTTGCCGCAAATGGGCGATGGTCCCACAGTGAGAGTATGTGCCACATAAACTATTTGGAGATAAAAGCAGTCCTGTTTGGCCTTCAGTCCTTGTGCTCAGACTTAACAAACTGTAACATCAAAGTATTGTCTGATAACCAAACAGCGGTTTCCTACTTGAGAAATATGGGTGGCACTCACTCGGGACTGTAATGAGATTGCAAGAGAAACTCTTCTGTGGTGCAAAGACAGGGGCATATCCTTAGCTGTCACCCATTTACCTGGAAAACTTAATGTTGAAGCTGACCTAGCAAGTAGACATTTTCATGATGACATGGAATGGTCATTAGACACTCATGTTTATAACAGCTTAATTACTAAATGGGGTAATCCTGAGATTGATCTTTTGCATCACGGTTGAATGCAAAACTGCCCTGCTACGCAGCATGGAAACCTGACCCATGTGCCCATTTTATTGATGCCTTTACACTTGACTGGTCTGTGTTTAAACTTGTTTACTGCTTCCCACCTTTCAGTGTTATTGGGAAAGTACTTCAGAAGATAATATTCTCCAAGACAACAGCAATCCTAGTTCTCCCCGACTGGCCAACACAGTTTTGGTACCCACGAGTAATGTCAATGCTAGTGGCGCCTCTACACCGAATAAAGCTGCAGAAGTCAACCCTGACCCTTCCCCACGATGTCAAGAACGTCCATCCCCTCTACCCCAAGCTCCGACTGATTGGCTGTCTTGTGTCAGGAAATCCCTCCAGCTGCAAGGAATAACTGGTGAAACTTTGAACATTATTATTGATTCTTGGAGAGAAAGTACCCAGAAGCAATACAGATCCAGCATATCAGCTTGGATAACTTACTGTAAAGAACAGAAGATCAGCATTACAACACCTTCATTACCACAACTGTTGGACTTTCTAACTCTTCAGTCCAAAAAGCTTAGCTACAGTGCTCTAGGGACCACTAGAAGTGCTCTTTCCTCATTCATCAATATTGATGGCTTCAAAGTAGGAGAACACCCTATTATTTCACGTTTTATGTCGGGTGCTTTCAACAGGAAACCAACTTTTCCCAGATATGTGGAAACATGGAACCCCCAAATTGTTCTCAGCCACCTCAAGGGCTATCCTGACACCAAGGAAATGTCTCTGAAGCAATTGACTTTGAAACTGACTATGATTTTGGCCTTGGTTACTGCACAACGAACACAGACTCTTAAGTTGCTGTCAATCAATGACATGCAATCTTTCTACACATATTGTACCGCCGCTTATGTGTGACTGAGGATTTTCGTCCCTTGTTGAGGTGAGTTAGCCGGAGGATAAAGGCACTGGAAAATGGGTATATTCCACTAACAAAGAAAGCACAGTGTAATGCAAAATTTTGAAAAAAATGTGGAGTGAACATTACCTAGTTTAAAGCTCTCGCTTTCTTTTTTTCTATATGACCTTCCTTCGCAATTTATTTTGGGACTTTGAACATCATACTCATAAAATGGAACATACACTGTAAATTAACGAGCTTGTACAATTCACATTGAAAGAAAATAATGAAGTACTAAAGCTTAAGCTTAAATTACTTCCTGTTTTCTTTAAGTTATGCATTACCATTCCTGAAGGTGAAAGTGATTGTTTCTGATCGCCTTAATTAATTCACTGCTCAAAATACACTATGCACTGTACCTATTGCACTGCGAATGTGAAAGTGAATCTTTATAACACAATGCACGCGACATGAGTTTATCGGTCATTTACTCATTGAAAACAGAAAATCAAAAACACTTTCTACTCTACTGTCCATTTTTGGCACAAGCTATGAAAAATAAATAGATAAATATATTAATACGTTTATAATTTATTATTAATAATGCTTTTTATTTTTCTTCATAGGATATGGAGGAGATAAACACCATAGATGACCTGGTATTGAAACTTACCAATGTGAAGTTGCCTTGGGATGAGTTTTGTCCAAATGAACTCACCGACTGGCTGAATGTCTTTGCTCGCAGCCATGGAACAACCAAGGAATTGACCCTTTCAGGAATTTTACCTACAGTGGGTGCTCTCCTTGGCAAAACCGAGTTGAAGCTGTTTTCAACTCATAAAGAGAGGGGTAATATGTATTGTATTACCCTTGCCCCTTCAGGTGCTGGGAAAACACCCGCTGCTCAAATCAGCTGCAGCCGACCCATCATCAATCATCTGGAAGTGAGGATTGGGGATGATAAGCAGATCTTGGTGGACAATTCTTCTGTATCTGGTCTCTTCAGCTATTTTCTGAATGAAAAAGTAGTACCTGTTATGTGCATTGATGAATGTCAGGGGTTTTTCAACAAGATGCTACATCCATCCAAGTCTTCTAATGATCAATCCCACACAATGGAACGCATGTGTAAGCTGTACGATGGAGATGCCTGGTACAATGTTAAAGGTAACAAAGGCAAAAGAGTTGGCACGGAATTTGCCGCCATGTCCCTTGCTGGCTACACCACACCCAAGATGTTTCTACAGAGAGTATGGGGAAGAGTGGTTGAAAACAAAAATGGCTTTGCCGACTGTTTTCTAGTGTTTTGCTGCAGTCAAGAGAATATATTAATCATTGACAAGGAAGAGTATTCCTCGCAATTAGATGAATTTGCCATTTCATCTCTTGATTTGGTTTATGAAAAGATCTGTGCATAACACAACTGTGGTGATCCTGTGGAATATAAGCTGACTGTGGGAGCTAAGGAAGTGTATCAGAAATTCGTTGCACAATCGACACAAGAGGGTCATCAAAGTGATGCAAACGTATCAAACAATGCACTTCAGTTGGCATTAGTGCTCCATGTTTTTTATGACCGTCTCAAGAAAGCTATAGGCAGCACTGTTGGGCCAGTTCCGAGAAACATTATTTCTCGGATTAATATGGTTGCATCAAGGTAATCATCTTTGTATTGTAATATTTTAAAGAGCACACTGATTAATTTTTAATTATTTTTTTGAAATATCTGTCATTCTCATTTGAAAGTACAAATCATACATCAAATCTCTTGTGTGCATGATTCACTAATTTTAGCAAGGTAAGGACAACCGCACGGGATATTTTGGAGTAAGGTTTCTTAACTTGTCTTTAAGAAACAACACAGTGCATGCCATGCAGGGACCAAGCTAGGACCTTGGGTCTTCTAACTGAAAGCCCAGCAAGCTATCAGCTCACTACATCACTTACAGTAACCTAAAAAATTTAAGGGTCCAACTGGGATGGGCAGTCTTAGAATATTTATCAAGCAACAATTAATAACTAAGCACGTGTACTAACCTTTTGTGTATGCAATCCCTTCAAGTTCCTTTTTTTGTTCTTTTTAATTTTCACGTGTTCCTCTTCTGCAGTAACCTTTGTGACAGAGTCGTGTTACAAATTAATATAATTTTTGTAATAATCAATTAAATGATTGTTGTCAGCTGAACGATATCAATACATATACATGAACATCAACTCCCACCCTCCTAACAAATTTCACTTTAAGCTTAATGCATTTAACTTTTAAACCTCTTGTCCACAACGCACCTTTTTAATCTTTAATTTCTTAGGGTGTGTATGGATAGATTTTGGAAGCATACAATGTTATTTTCCGATGACAGGTCAATTAGTAAAATTTCATCCTATATTGTGACAAGTGATTGTTGCAGTAAAATACTAAGCATAAACCAGCAAAAAAATTCATAAGGGTAGCACATTTACCTTTGAATTTGAAGTTTTCAATTTTTAAGAACGTCGTTGAATGTGCTTAGCAGTTCCTTTTGCATTAAAACCGACATCAGGGATACCACAAACTGGCTCTAGTTGTAAGGAGAACTCACTGAGTTCAAACTTGGTTTGCGGGGTGTTAAAGTTTGGAAATTTCGGGCCCCACTTCTCCATTGCCTTGGTACCAATCATCTTTAGTCTGAAAGAAGTAATTTAATTTTAAAGAAGTAGTATAATCTTTAAATCATTAAATTTTAAAGAAATAGTTAACCTTTATAGACAAATCTGGTAAAAATAAACCTGCTTTCAGTCTTTCATTATGTCATTTGTATAACAAGGGAAAAAACAGGGGAGAAAAGTTGTGTGTACTTATTCATGTGGACGTCCCAGATGATGCCGACGCTATAAAGTTTTTAGATCTCCTGGAGTGCATGGGGCTAAACACAACATGTGATTACATCAACTCACCGTTCTGGACACTCTTTAGACTTGATCATTACACGGGACCTGGATGGCCTTATTCAGACGCCGCCCATCTCTGACAGTTTTTTGTCAGATCATTGCACTGTTCTTTCTGAACTAACTCTTCGCATGCCGGCTACAACTGTTAAGGAGGTCTGCTACCGGAAGGCTAAGGCTATTGACATTGAAGCGTTCAAGAATGATCTCAGGAAATCGAGACTATGCCAGGACCCACCCGTTGTACTTACAGACCTTGTTTCCTGTTATGGTTCAACCATGACCAGCCTTTTAGATAAACATGCTCCACTTCAGAAGAAGACTATCACGGTTCGTCCGCGTGTTCCTTGGTTCAATAACGAAATCAAGGAAGCCAAGCGTTTACGTAGATGGAATGAAAGAATATGGCGAAGGACAGGGCTCGAGTCAGACAGGGTAAAATTCATCAAGGCACGCAATCAAACAAATCACGTGATCGAGCAAGCAAGGCGTGACTATTATTTCAATCTTATTAATGAAAACGATTGTGATCAGAGAAAGCTTTTCAAGATGGCCAGTGCATTGCTAGGAGGGTCGTCACAGGAACAATACCCCAAACACTCTGACCCTGCTATGCTTGCTAATGATTTTGGGAGATTCTTTACACAAAAGATCGATGACATTCGCTCAAAGCTGGATAGAATTGACCCCTCATCAAATCAGCCTGACTACTCGACCAGGAGTAGCGTCCAAGAGCACTGGTATGCTCGCACACCCTTCACTAACTTCGAGCCTATATCGTCTGAAGGTATCAAAAAACTGGTGCTGAATGCCCCAAGCAAGACTTGCGACAATGACCCTATACCTACCAAGATAGTTATAGACTGTATTAATGAACTCTTACCGACCATTTCCAGCATGGTTAATCTCTCGCTCAGTAGTGGTCATTTTCCTGACATTTGGAAAGAGGGTTTAGTGAGACCAAAGTTAAAGAAAGTCAACTTGGATTTGATAAAGAAAAACTACCGGCCCATCAGCAATCTCACACTCCTTTCAAAGATCACTGAAAAGGCAGCTCCACTACAAATCTCTGATCACGTGTCATTCAATCAGATGTTTCCAGAATTTCAATCAGCCTACCGCAAATATCACAGCACGGAGACTGCCTTACTGCGCATGCGCAATGACATACTCGTCAGCATGAACAAACAACAAGTCACATTACTAGTGTTCCTAGATCTTAGCACTGCTTTTGATACAGTAGACCATGATATATTACTGCGGTGCCTGGAATACAAATTTGGAATTAAAGATCAAGCAGTAACGTGGTTTAAATCCTATCTGTCGAATAGATCCCAGTGTATTGTAATCGGCAGTGCAAAGTCAGACAGTTTTGATCTGAAGTTTGGCGTGCCACAGGGCTCTTGTCTCGGCCCAATGTTGTTCTCCCTTTACACTAGTGAGCTTTTTGATGTCATTAGCCAGCACTTGCCAACGGCGCACAGTTATGCCGATGATACCAGTATCTATTTGGCATTCAATCCAAATGATGATTCGGATCAAGACGCCGCCATTGCAGCAATGGAAGCGTGCCTTTGTGACATCCGTAGCTGGATGATCAATGACAAACTTATGGTCAATGATTCCAAGACTGAGTTTATGCTCATTGGGACGAAGGCGCAGCTACAGAAAACTAAAAGCGCCACTCTAACTATTGGCGAATCCATCATCTCTCCTAGCACAGAACCTCTTACAAACTTAGGGGCCTGGTTTGACTGCCATTTCAACCTGAATGTTAACAACCAAACCTTGTAGGAGTGCTTTTTTTCATGTACACAATATTAGACGCGTCAGAAAATATCTAAGCATAGAATCTGCTGAGAAATTAGTGCACGCTTTCATCACAAGCAGGTTGGACTATTGTAACTCACTTTTATACGGACTACCCCACTGCGCCCTCACTAAACTACAGCGTTTTCAAAACGCAGCTGCAAGAGTTCTATATCTAGCACCACGGTTTTGCCATATCACACCAATATTATACGAATTACACTGGCTGCCTGTGATGTTTAGCATAGAATTTAAGGTTATTATAATCACTCACAAAGCAATCTATGGAACAGCTCCTAATTATTTATCATCTCTCGTTAATTTTAAACTTAATTCTTCCTACAGCCTCAGATCAAATAACAAATATCTGCTTTCAAATCCTAACTTTAGGACTCTCCCTACTCTTGGTGACCGAGCCTTTGTAGCCGCCGCACCAAAATTATGGAATAATCTTCCGTTAGATCTTAGATGCACCTCCGATTTTCAAGTTTTTAAACGTAATTTGAAGACTCACCTTTTTAAAAAAGCCTTTTCTTATATAATGTTATAATTGAATGTTGTAGTTTTTTTTACGGTATATTTTTAGATCTTTAATTGTAAGGCGCATTTGAAAACTGTATAGCTGAATTTGCGCAGTATAAATAAATGTTATTACTATTATTATTCTTATAAGTACAAGTCTCACGACTTCTCCTTGATCTCGAAGTTCCTGCTCAATAGCACCGCAGACAACGGAGACCAACAGGTGCCTGAACCTTTTGAGGAGTTCACTTAGGTTGATTGAGATTGGAAATAGCATAACCATTTGTCCTTTGTTCGTGCAGAGAAAAAAACGTGAAGTCCTTCACCAAGTTTATCTGCATCTTCTTCTTAGACTTCATAAACGAGAAACCAGGGACTGGTCGTTTCCCAAACCCCAGCACTGGTTACTGGCGGACTAAGAACTCGGCTGCAGCCACTAATTGATGGGCGAGGAATTGGATGCGAGGTTGCTCTTATGATTATAAAAATAAGAAAGTGAAATGTAAAATAGGTTTACGTCAAGTTAACATTTTTTAGTGTAAGCGATCAAATCACGCTTTTAAAATATTTCCATCTTTATACAGTACCAAAAGTAAACAACAAAGAAAAAAAAATCCCAAACACAAAAGAAAGTGCATACATACTAAGCACCCAATGTTCCCTGAAAATCATCATCATCATCCTCTTGTAAATCTTGATCTTCAGCAGGAAAGGCAACCACATGTGCATTTTTTGTTCTCGTTGGCAATAAAAACTTCCCGTTTGATAGCGGCCATTAATTTTCGCACTTGCTATTTTTTGCCATTGTAAGGTGCAAACCTTCTTGATGTAACCGAAGAAATTGAGCAATTGTTGTTTTGCTATGATTCGTTGGTGTCAATCCCACACTTTTGCTTTCATAATCAAATTGAACCAGATCCGCCATAATGCTAGATGATTCAGAATGAAACTCCCAATTGTCCAGCCCTTTTAGATCATATGACCTTTCCCTGCCATTGAGCCACGACTGCATCAGACTTGGCATCGAGGCAAATATTGTAAACAAAATGCAGAAATAGCATATGGACATTCGACAGAACAAATCTGAGATAACATAGATAATGCAACTTCATTTAGCAACAATATGCAGCCCACAAAAAAGCACGCAATTTCCCTCCAAGGAAAGATTTTTGGTATGTCCCTCACTTCCAGAGTCTGCAGAAGATGGCACTGACGTCACAAACCAAATTTCTCGAATCGATTTTGTACCAAAATTTCTTATCCCATGGGGTAAAAGCAAAAGACGGCATATATAAAAAGCAAGGAACATGAAATTGGGCAACAAAATTACAGAATGCAAAGTGCAAAAACTCAAACGAGGTAAAATATTTACAGAATGAGAAAGACTAAATGCAGGAAGCTAACAACATATCAACAGAAATGCATGAAAAGACTGAACGTTGAGCTTATGCATCAGTCAATTCCACCTGCACCCAGCAAACACCCCACCCCCCTTCATGGGCCGACCCCCGGGCATTAGCACTTTTTTGCCTTGGATGGCAAATTTCCGGGTGTGGGGACTCTTGAGCTGTCAATTTCCCTGGGGTGGGGACGGAAAAAGAGGGCAAATACCCGTCCTCCGTCAACACTGCAACATTTTTTATTGATCGCACAGTCGAATAGTGCCATTTTGAGCATTTTAATGTGCGATTTTTTGTTTGAGTTAACGTCTTCCTTTGTAATAGCGCTAGGATTCTAATTTAGACTTCATGCCGCGACGACATGCATCAGTTTATGGTTTTAGTATTGATATAAAATTATTGACATTAAAATTAATAGAGTGCTGTACGTAAAGTTATATGTTTTATGATAGTAATAGTATAGTTTTAGTAATAGAATAGTTTTATAAATATGAAAGGATGTTCTTAAAATAATATAATAACCAAAAACGAAATGCATGCATAAAATCGAGAACATGCTTTTACAAGCCTCTACAATTTATTCCTGTCCTTGACAGATGAGCCAATCTGCTTTTTTCCAATACAACATTCTGTGTAGTTATAGTCTGACAGGAAACTGTGTGTGTCAAAAGCTCGGGAATGGCCCAGGGTTGGCAAATGCCTGGCCCCTGGGCAGTGGTAAATTTGGAAATGCCCTGCAGTAGTCCGGGGGACTGAGCGCAGGTGGCATTGACTGATGCAAAACATACGGAAGGTTGATCACAACTTCAAGAAAACCTTATTGTAGAATTTAAGACCAGAAAATATTCATGAAAAACAAATTAAGAATGTTAAAAAAATGAAATAAAGGCTTACCGGTAAATTGCAAATGGGATTTGGAAATTTAGAACAAAACTTTGAGATGATAGCATCAAAATTTACAATGGCCATGCGGTACACTAATCAATTAGACCTCCTCGTGAATGTCAACAGTACATTTTTTTGAAAAAACATCTTTTCTCTAACTATAGTTTAATTGTTTGTCTTCTTATTATAAAGTTGAAGATTCTGATGATACCAAGTGCTTAGTGTGCAATGAGGAACGTCCACCAGTAAAAGAAAAAGGAAAATGTGTATTATTGGTGCAGTGTGATGAGTGTGACTGCTGGTGTCATGGGTATGTATTAAGTAGCAGTCTCCCTGAAAGCAGTCCACTCAATTTCACGACTAAAAATAGTTTTCCTTTGTTTTTTGTTGTCGAAGAGGCTTTAGTAAGTATATACTAAAATCGCGAGATTTTGGGTATTAGACGTTGATTACTGTTTTGTTGTCCTTTATTTTTCGTTCTTTTAGATAATGTCGGGCTGATCTAAAAGGGAAAAAACAGTCCTATTGATCCAAATTCCAATCGCTCACCTTGGCACCAGCTTGAAAAGATCTGTGAACTGTGTACAGTCCACATGTCCCAAGATATCGCAATGAGGGCAAGCTCAACTCCTCACGAGATTTCCCTAGCTCTCTTTCAAGGGCCATCCATACCAATGTTCCATGTCTTTGCTGGGTTCAGGTCTTTTGTTGCCTCTTCATAGTGATTTACGATGTCATGTGTTCTACCATGGCCTATGAACAAGGACGTGAAATACCGGGACTCCACTCAGCAATTTTCACTTGACCAATAATGCACATGCACGTTCAGTTGCTTGCTCTGTAACTCATCATTTAATGACTCATCAAATAATGGTGCGTGGGCTGGTGATTGCTACACATTGTGTAACAGTTTCCTGGCGAAATATGGGCCAAGTTGTGACATATCTGAATTTTGACTCAGTCATTAGATAATTCAATGCAATTTCACTGTCACTGAACATTCTCTTGAATAAGTCATTTACTCCAACATTTGAATTTCCAGAGAAATCGAAGTAAACACAGTTCAAAGCCCATAAAATCTCTGTCAGTGATTTTTTTGGACAAGGTGCATAAATCGGTTAATGACTGAATGGCCCTACCTTCTCCAGTAATTTCCGTTACACTGTCATTCGTGGAAGTTGAAGGAGCCACTTGAGATGTTTCTTCAACAGATTCGAAACTTCTCGCAATAGGAACTGATTTGGGGCAATCACTTACGCGTCTTTGGTGTCCAGCTCCTTCCATATGAGACCTTCAGGCTGCTTTAGGTTAGGTAATAGTAAAAGGTGATAAAACCTACACTAGTTTTGACAAAGGAAACAATTGTTACAGCTACTGTCCTGGCCAATTAGGCTGCAAATATTTATGCGCCTAATTTTTTTCTTAAAAATGGATGTGTCAGATAATTGTGACCTTTCACGCAAAAACGTGCTATAACGACTTTCTGTTACATGGGTGAAACGAACGGCCATCGAACGGGTTACAAACAGGTCACCAAGCCGTTTTAAACGGGTTTCAATGAGTGTTCGAACGGGTGATAAAGTATTCCGAACGGGTAGCTTAGCCGTTCGAACAGCTCGGGGAAAATTGCGAACAGGTAACCAAACTGTTCGAACAGCTCATAAAAAATTCTGAACGGGTAACCAAACCGTTCGAACGGCTCATAAAAAAATTCCGAACGGATATCTGAACCGTTCGAACGGCTCAGAAAAGATTTCGAACGGGCAATCTAAACGTTTGAACAGCTCATGAAATCTTCGAACGAGCATTCACGAACGGCTTACAAACTTGATGATTGTAATTTGTTTTGATTATTTCGAATGGTGCCGTGTCACTACACCCGTCACTTAAAATTAATTTCGAACGGATGGCTTTCAATCGATGAAACTGCTCCTGTTTATTTCACCACTGAAAGCCAAAGAAAGTAAACTTGAAACGCAGAGAACATTCAAAACTGAGTTTGCTGAAGCGGAATTCGAAAGGAAATCAACGGCGAATGCAAACTTGCTAAGTATTTGCAGTGATGTTTTTCCTAGCTTTCTTACAAAACAAATACCAACTTTTTCTTTCTAACAGTTCCCGATACATTTTCAAATTGTATGCTATGCTGACCTTTACTTTTGACTATGACTCAAAGGCATTCCCGTCAGTTCAGTTCTGTTGCATGTCACTACACTGATCTAGATAAATTGGCGTACAAGTTACACAACAGTGACAGGTAACACAACACCAGCCAATCGCATCAATCACTTTGACAGTTGCACGCATTGTCAAAACTACTCTCTCGCAGCAACTATTCTTTACAGTGAAAACCTTCATCATGGCTGAATGCGATCTGCTTGACGTGCTCAAAAGCAAAGAAATCATAGCTAAAGTGACAAAATTTCTACAAGAAGGATGCGGGTGCTCTCGTGGCTCGAAAGGCGGCCAGTGTTGTGAACGGTTTTCAAAGGAAGTTGTTCTTTCCAACTTAAACAATTGGCTGGAACTGTCGCATGGAGAACTCGATCTTGTTATCTTGGCAAACATTCAAGCATGCACGAACAGTGAAATCATTGGCGAAAAAAGGAAACGAAGTTCGCAATCCAGTTTCCTTTACCTTAATCGTCCGATCTGCAAGGATTTGTTCTTAAATCTTTACAGAATAAGTTATTCACAATTTCGCCGACTAAAACAACATTATGCAGAACACGGACTTTCACAAAGGGTGCATGGAAACTGCAAGAGACTACCGCACAACTCCTTGCCCCAAGCCGTAACCAAGGACGTAAAGAACTTCCTAAGTAATAACGCGGATGAAAATGCTGTTTTACTTCCTGGCAGAATCCTGGGATTTAAAAACGATGACATTCGCCTGCTTTCATCGTCAGAGACAAAAATGAATGTATGGCGTGCATTTTAAACAGTTTGCGAAGCAACGGGCAAGCAAGTTGTTGGCTACACTTCATCTACAAAACTATGGCAGCAGTTTCATCCTGATTTTCTCATCGCCAAGCCCATGACTGACCTCTGTTTAACTTGCCATCAGAACACTTCGAAACTCTTGCGGTCTGCAAACCTTCCCGATAATGAAAAGTCTCAATGTGTCTTGGCTCAGCAGGAACATTTAAATTGCGTTCAAACGGAAAGAGAGTTTTACAGGAACACTTGTTGTGAATCAAAGAACAATTTGGAAAGATTAGCAGATACAATCGAATTTGATGAGCCACATGACCCATGCTCGATTGATGCAGTTATTCGCTATTCATTCGACTTTGCTCAGCAAATTCACATTCCCAGTAACCCGATGCAGCTGGGACCGATTTACTTTAAAACACCACGCAAATGCGGAATCTTTGGCGTCATGTGCGAAGCAGTACCTCAACAGGTTAACTACCTTATTGACGAGGCAAGTGACGTTGGTAAAGGGGCAAACAGCACAATAAGCTATGTTCATCATTGCTTCCAGAACCATGGACTTGGCGAAACGTGCGTCCATCTTCATGCTGACAACTGCTCGGGGCAGAATAAAAACAACTGTTTCCTTTGGTACCAGGAGAGCAATAAATCAGCTTCATGACTCAATCACTTATTCGTTTTTAATTGCTGGACATACCAAGTTTGGCCCCGATCGCTCCTTTGGAATTATCAAGAGATCGTACAAAGTTACTTGTATTTCTTCTCTTTACGAATTTGCCGAGATGGTCGAGTCATCCAGCACTGCGGGAGTAAACAAAGGGCAACTTGTTGGGACACACGATGGCAAAGTTATTGTGCCAGTGTACGATTGGTCAGCATTCCTAGGACAGTACTTTTGTCAAGCTTCCCAGCATAAAAAAGTTCCATCATTTTAGATTTTCAAAAGAGGAACCTGGCAAAATTTACTTCAAAGAGTACAGCACTTCTCCCTAGCGATCTCTTTTGCTGCTGAAACACCCTGCCACCCTACCACCCGCAGTACTTCCAGCTAAGCTAAACTCCCAAGGATTATCTCAAGAACGGAAGCAGTATCTGCACCGAGAAATTTGCCAGTTCTGCAAACCAGGAACAGAAGATCTGGTTGCACCAGCGCCATGAAGCCTCTGGTCAAAAATTCCTTACCCTTGAAAAATGAGTTAGGGATTGTCCTTCCAGTGACTCCAGGCGTCCTTCGATGTTTGATAGTGCAGTGCTCACGTTGTTTTCTAAGGCAGACATCTTGTTCACCAGTTTGTGTTCCTTTCCCGACAGGGATGTTTCAAATTTCTCCATCATCTACAACAGTTAACGGAAATTTGGGTCAGCTGACAGATTCAGGACAGGATTTTTGTGACCTTAGAGAATATGAAAAAGCATACGTTTCGAGTGTTAAACCTTCAGTTGGAGCAAAGGAGAAGGGCCAACACTCAAAATGCTTCCTTTTCAAATTCGACACGGCATCTATTAGCCTCTATTTATGTTTAGCAATGTTGTAGTTTCTAATCAAATAAGTGTTTCACTAGCAATCTATGAATCTCCTCCATGTAGAGTAAAACAGTACGGTTTAAAGAAAATTGCTCAGATTCTCAATTTGTCATTGGCAATCCGTGATTTTCTAAATCCTGAAGTAGTTCACTTAGCTAATATTTTAAATTTCTCACAATTGCAAAACAGCGATGTTAGCTATAGAGTGTTGTGTCTTTGTTTCGAGAGAGAACGTACCTGACCAAAGGTTAATGCATTACCTTAACAAAGTTTTCTTGCATTTGCATCTGGCAGGAGAGAATTTTAGTGTTCGCTTCTTCCATGGCAGCTAGCTTATTCATCAGCTGACGACACTCCTCTGTCTTGGCAGCAAGTTGCTGCTGGAGTATAGTGACAGCATTGTCTTGTGGGGAGGAACTTGTCACCGTCACAGGCACTGCGCTTTCTGCTACCTTGGTCCTCTTGGATTCTCAGACTTTTTGCCACTCGTGCTGCCTCTGCTTCTGGCCGACCAAGAACTGCTCATACGGGTGGTCACTCGGGTTTGCTTCGGTCTCGGATATTGCACTTCAGCAGGCTGAGTCAAACAAAATCAAATGATTACCTTTCGCAATTAACCTCGCAATTAACAAAAACACTTCGGAGCTACACACGGTAACAGTCGAGTTAGGCCCGGTTTAAACATCGCATTTTACATGCGCTGAATCGAATTGCTGAATTAAGTGCATGTAAAATGCGATGTCTCAATCAATTAAATGCGAGTTCAGTCGAATATTCGAGTTATGCAAGGTAAGGGTTGAGTGACAATATTACAAAGATTTAATCGGTGAAAAGAGTAAATGGTAAATTTCAGTCAATCGCCAAGAAAAGAAGTTCCCCAGAACTTCGATAGGGAAGTTAAGCGAAAACAAAGAAACAGTCGACTCTACTAATTACCTTATTTCGGGGAGCTTTTTTTGTTGGTGGCTCTGTGGTTCCTCGGATCTGTTCTGTCACTACTGGAAAATTCTTCTTGTACCATTCCAGGTCTTTCTCAGCTAACACTTTCTCGTCATCTGTAACATGGACATAAAATTATGGACTTGGTGTTAAAAAGATCATAACTGTATCAAAAATTGCTAGTGCTTACAAGAAAGGATCACCTAACTAAAAGATACAGACTTCAAAACATACGATTGACACTTACCGCTTACAGCAAGGATCTCCGCTTGCACTTTCCTTCCCTCCCAGTTAACGTGGACAGACAGTCCCTTCACTAAGTCAAGGTCTTTCTCGACGATGAAACGAGTTGATGCGATACCTGTTTTCCATTCTTCAGGGAAAAGAAAGAGTGCTTTTGAAACACGTTTACTTGTTTGCTTTCACAACTGTCTTAGAGACATTCCGCAACTGTTGAGAGTGAACACTGTGGTGGCTACCTGCTAACAAGTGTGATTACTTTACTTTGATAACGGAGCCTGCTTTATATGTTACACTAAAGGTCCCGTCGATCGAAAATCCAGTGTTTTCATTGGATAAATGAAGTGTAAGTGTTTTTATTGGTCCACCAGAACTTGTGCGTGTTTGCATAATAAACAACTATTGAGTGAATTATAACATCAATACACCTGTCAGAAGGCGTCGTTTACATGGACTTTCAGCGTCTGTGTAATTCTCTACCTGGTATAAAGAGAGAAAATTCGGAAGAATTGTTTTTTGACTTTGCAAAATAATAATTGTCCAATGTAACTGTAACTGACTCGTTGATTCCTCCTCGGCGAGAGATTCTCGCGCAGATCGAAAAAGCTAATTCTTTTATACACAGTCGTTTATAAGAGACTTTGTCAATTCTTTGTTTTTCAGTACGTACAGCCCAAAAATAATGCGCGCGCAAGAAATTCAGTAGGATTTTCAAACTGTAGAAACTTCTTTGCGCTAACATCTTAGCATGCAAAGATCCGTATCAAGACGATGGTACAATGTAGCCGAAGGGTTAACCCAAAGGTTAAAAAAAACAACATATTTATTGGGAAGTGTAACCCAAATTTTAAAACAAGCACAGGACTATGCATGCCTGACAAACGCATGACTCACTTTTCACGCATCAGTAATATTTGAAACTTTAATTATGCAAATTCAGGGCGTCAAAACAACATGGTTGTTATCTCAGTGCATGTTGCCGTCTTAAAGATTTCATTCAGTGGATTCTCTTTGAAATAAGAGGAATGCACAAGGGAGACTCATGAGATTTCGGTGTTCAGAAAATCATTTATGTGCTTATGGAACGGGTGAGCAAGTCGTTCAAACGGTTGGATTGTTTTTAACAAACGGGTGAGTAAGTCGTTCGAACGGTTGGACGTTTTTATCGAACAGTTGAGCAAGTCGTTCGAACGGATGGATGCTTTTACCAAACGGGTGAGCAAGTCATTCGAACGGCTGGACGTTTCTATCGAACGGGTGATCAAGCCGTTCGAACAGATGCAACTTTTTTTGAACGGATGACCCAGGTCGTTCGAACGAATGCAAATTTCTTTCAAACAGCTTTCAAACGGGTTCTAAACGTAATTCCATTCGAAAACGGAAAGCCATTATAGCACGTTTTCATGTGAAAGGTCACAATTTAATGTAACTGTCCAATTTTGTGCACATTACAGGGCCAAGATAGCGCAGGCTATGTTTACCATAAGTGACTGAATTAAAATGACGTACGATAAAATCAGAGTTCCTAAGATGGTAACCACTACTGTTAATCGGTTTAAAAGATCCGCTATGTACGGAGGTGATAGGTTATTTTTTATTTTGTACATAACTGTGGCCATTTCTTGTAGTCAACGATTCTGCCAAGTATGCAAATCACCTAACGTAATAATTCTTTGTGACACTTTTGTTGCAATTTTTATATTCTTGATTTCACACTGACAAGACTTTCCTGCAAACGTTGCTTATGTGAGTCGTAAATCGCAGTTGTTCATCCAGAGTAACGCCTAACAGCTTTAGCTCCCGTTTTGTACTACCTCAGTACTCGCCATTCAATATATTTTCGTCATACCACTGGGAGACTTTGTGACATCTCTTTACTTTGCCATCGAAGTAGCAGTATTCGTCTCGCATTAAGTGCTCACCTTCTCTGTCCATGTTTAGAGCAACTGTTCTTTGCTTGTTTTAAAGATATAAGAGAGAAAATCAAGGTTACCACTACTGTCATTAACCTTGTGAATTGAAAGTTCGTCTTGATTGTCCCAATAGAGCTTTAGGGTCACCACAGCCTCAAAATTCTCACTGTATGGTCATGTCCCTCTCTTTATGTTTTCTCTTTCGTTAGTGATCCCCTTTTTGTCCACTAAACGGTTCGTGGCCTTTTCTACTTCATTCCAGTCTCCTCCTTTTCTCAGAGATGCCATGATGAACAAAGACTAGATTTTACTTGGAGTTACTTTCGGGTTCTCCTCTAACATTTCTCTTACCTTCTTGGTAGGTTTTTCTGGTTTAGAAATAACAGGACATGTATGTTTTCCCCAGTAAAAAACCTTTATGCATTTCTTGCCTTTTTGTATGTATCATCGTCCAGGACAAGGGACGTACTCAGTTTTACTACCGCAGATTCCACATGTGGTTGTGCCCTCTTCATTCTTGTTGATCTGTATCCGATTAGCCTGTTGATCATTTCCAGTAGGCATGTTATACACGGCCAATCCATCATTACCACATGGGAGTGTTGACACTTCCTGGACCAGGGCCTTTCCCCACAAATCCGGGTGAAACTTGCGTTGCTTTTTCTGCACATTGTTACCTAGAAAGTTGTTGTCTTCATGTTCAGCCATCCCACTACAATGAAATAAATCATATGAGACCCTTATTAGTTTTTGCCTTTTACGAATGCAAATATTTGGTGAACATTTTGTTTTGGCTGCCCAGTAGAGTGTACACCTTTGATTCTAGAGGATTGGTGTTCTAAACTATGACAAGCCCTGGTCCCTACCTCAACGAGGAGACAAAATTGTTGAGATAAAGTGTTGAAAAGGTGGTAAAATTGTTCCAAAGGTAAAACCTTCTGTGCCCCCCGCATTTTTTTCCAATAACAGATGATGGGGTGTTTGATGTTTCCTACAATTAGAATAGCTTAGGGCCCGTTTATATGGAGGAAGCGGTGGCTGGTGTAACCCACCTGTACATATCATCTCTCATATTTATTTGATCACGTCTACATGATAGGTGGGATGACCTGCTGCACGTTACCTCGCCTATCCGGGATCCCCCACTTCCATGTAAACAGACCTCATTGTCAAAATTCTTTAGGGAGAAAGAGGGACGTGGAGGAAAGGCTCAATTTGTCGTTTTTGAAGTAAGTACTCGCAAAATCGTTTGCATAGTGTATTCCCATCACGATCATATGATTGAAAGGGCAACCTTCCTTGGCTCGTGATTGTGAATTTTCGCAGCTTATTATTGGCTTTACAGAAACAATTTTTCTTTTTTTGTATACAATACGAATATTTGACTGTGCTCGATACTTGGAGACGATCACAAATTTCTTTACTTGAAGAATAGAGTAACTCAGTCTTCTTCCTGGCGAAAAAAGAGAAGGGATGGGTAAACAAACAAAAAAACAACCTCTATTCCCATCTTTTGGGCAGTTGGATAAACTATAAAGTATGCTAGTAATAGCCAATTATTCTAAGTGCGAGTAACAACGATTGAAGTTGTTGTTTAAGTTACACTTAAGATATAGTCAAGACACACGTGATCAGATTACGAGTGATAAAAGGTTAAAAAGCACGTCATCAAATTGCATTCTTGACATTCCATTCATTCTTTGTGAACATCCAAACGAAGACTGGCTACATACATGTGACGTATGCACAAACCATGTCGGTCCAAATACCTCTCATAGGCAAGGGTAGAAAATGGCACCAGCTATGCCAGCCGATTCTAGCAAAACCTTACAGCTCTCTCAGAGAAATGACAGGCCAGAACCAGCCACAATGGCCAGAAACGGTTCCCTACAGTCAACAAAGGGAAAGTACAGTAGGGGAGGATTATGTGACAGAAGGAAAGTTCCGTTACACGATCGTATTAACCAGTTCCCAAATCAGCTATCAAGAATAAATGGCTTCTGATTATAGAAATGTATTTCTGAACTTATTTGCCATGGTTCTTGAAAGGCAAAAGTTAAAAAAGTAGCATAATTTGGAAAAACGAGCATAATTAGGCCAAAAAAAGAGCAGTGCTACTAACAGTGCTACTTTTACTAGCACAATCTATAAAAGCCTAATTGCCGAATATTGAGATAAAATTTTAAAAAATGACTTTCATGAAGCTCTCCCACGTCCAAAGCGGATAAGCATTGTTAAAAACTTTGGTTACCTGTGCATCGCAAACATTCTGGTAGTGACGTGACCCACCTGTCCTCAC